CACGTACTCTGTCTCAAGCTTTGGTTCCCACATCAATCTTCATGCTTGCTTTGATCATTTATACTGGATTCACTATTCCGGTTCGTGATATGCGTCCCTGGTTTAAGTGGATCAGTTACATCAACCCAATTCAGTACGCTTTTGAGTCTCTTATGATCAACGAGTTCCATAACCGCGAATTTGATTGTGCTTCTTATATACCCAGTGGGCCTGCATATGCCAACGTTAGCGGCTCGTCTAAAATATGCGCAGCTAAGGGCGCTATGGCTGGAAAGACAACAGTCAGCGGTGATATCTTCCTCAGAGAAACTTATTCTTATCAAGCTTCCCACATGTGGAGAAATTATGGCATCATCATTGCTTTCCTCCTTTTCTTCCTTGTCGTCCACATTGTAGCCACAGAGCTTGTCAGCGCTAAGCCTTCGAAGGGAGAAATTCTTGTCTTCCCCAAGGGCAAGGTGCCTGCCTTCTTAAAGCAGTCCAAGAAATCTGATGATCCTGAAGCCGCATCTACACAGGAAAAGAAATCAGTAGAAAGCTCTGGCCATGACCAGACAGCCGCCATCGTTAAGCAAACATCCATCTTCCACTGGGAGAGCGTCTGTTATGATATCAAGATTAAGAAAGAAACAAGGCGTATCCTGAACAATGTTGATGGTTGGGTCAAGCCCGGAACTCTGACTGCATTGATGGGTGTCTCTGGAGCCGGAAAGACGACACTCTTGGACGTCCTTGCAAACCGTGTTACCATGGGTGTTGTTACTGGAGAAATGTTGGTTGATGGACGACTACGTGATGACTCCTTCCAGCGTAAGACTGGTTATGTTCAACAGCAGGACCTTCACTTGGAAATCAGTACCGTTAGAGAAGCGCTGCAATTCAGTGCCCTGCTCCGTCAGCCCAACACTACCCCCCGTGAAGAGAAAATCGCCTATGTCGAAGAGGTCATCAAGATGCTGGGAATGGAAGAATATGCCAACGCTGTCGTCGGTGTCTTAGGTGAGGGCCTTAACGTCGAACAACGAAAACGCCTTACCATTGGTGTCGAAATCGCTGCTAAACCTGACCTTTTACTTTTCTTCGATGAACCAACCTCTGGACTCGACAGTCAAACAGCCTGGTCGATCTGTACCCTGATGAGAAAGCTAGCTGATCACGGACAAGCAGTCTTGTGTACGATCCATCAACCCTCTGCTATGTTGATGCAGGAGTTCGATCGACTGCTATTCCTGGCTTCTGGCGGACGAACCGTTTACTTTGGTGAACTTGGAAAACATATGACTACCCTTATTGAATACTTTGAAAGTAAGGGGGCTCCGAAGTGCCCTCCAGACGCAAATCCTGCCGAATGGATGTTGGAAGTCATCGGTGCTGCCCCCGGTTCAAAGACCGATATAGATTGGCCTGCCGTCTGGAGGGACAGTGAAGAACGTGTCGAAGTCCGTCGTCATCTTGCTGAATTAAAGGCAGAACTCTCTCAGAAGCCTCAAGCTCCTCGATTGGCTGGATATGGTGAATTCGCTATGCCTCTGTGGAAGCAATACCTCATCGTTCAACGCCGTACGTTCCAGCAATACTGGCGTAGTCCAGATTACATCTACTCGAAAGCCTGTCTTGCTATTGTTCCGGTATACTATATTCATCTCCTTTTTCATATTTCTATCTTCCTACTTGCTAACGAATATTGTCTAGACTCTATTCATTGGTTTTACCTTCTACAAAGAACAAATTAGTTTACAAGGTATCCAGAACCAAATGTTCGCCATTTTCATGTTTATGATTCTATTCCCAAATCTTGTCCAGCAAATGATGCCTTATTTCGTCATCCAACGA